ACTCCACTCTCAGGTACTCCCCACTTGCCTAAAGATATATCAGCCTTTTGCAGCTCTGTCCCCACCCCATCTCAATAATGAGTCATCCCAATGCTGGGATCAGGGAAACCTCTCATACTCTGCAATCCATGCGTTCTCCTTGACCTGCTGCCTTTCTTTAGTCAGAGAATTACTCACTGCTCCCAAGGCAACAGGCTGAGCATATTGCTACTCAGTTCCTTTTTTGAAAAAATCAATCCACCTTAAGGGGGTCTATTTGCTTCAGGGTACCGTGATATTCCCCCTACAGATGAGAGGAACAGGTGACAGGTTGTGTTGAGTTTGCATGGCAAGGTTTTGGTAGCAGCAGGGGGGCTACAGAGGAGGCTCCTCTGAGAATGTGACAGAAGCTTCCCCACGTCCAACAGAGCCAATGGCAGCTGGTTCTAAGATAGACCCTCCACTGGCCAAGGCTGAGTCACCAACAGTTTTAGCACCTCACAGAATCACAGATTCACAGAATGGTTGGGTTGGAAGGGATTTCTGGAGATCATCCAGTCCAGTCCCTGCTCAGGCAGGGTCACCTTGAGCAGGTGACACAGGAATGTGTGCAGGTGGGTTTGGAATGTCCCCAGAGAGGGACATTCCAAACCCAGGACCTCCCTGGGCAGTCTGTTCCAGTGCTCTGCCATTCTCCATGGAAAAAGTTCCTCCCCAGTTTGCAGTGGATTTTCTTGTGTTTTAGTTTATAGACATTACTCCTCATTCTGCCACTGAGCACTGCTGAAAAGCCTGGTACCATCCTCTTGGCACCCACCTTTGAGATATTTTTATGTACTGATGAGATATCCTCTCAGTCTTCTCCAGACTAAACAGGCCCAGCTCCTATGCTCTCATCTCCTAAGACAGATGCTCCAGACTTCTCATTGTCCTGTGGCCTCCACTGGCCCCTCTCCAGTAGCTCCTTGCCCTGAGGAGCCCAGAACTGGACACAACACTCCAGATATTACCTCACTTGGGCCACATAGAGGGGAAGGATCACCTGTCTCGACCTGCTGGCCACATTCTTCCCAAGGCATCCCAGGATAACTTTGGCCCTCTTGGCTACATGGGCACTGCTGGCTCATAGTCAACTTGTCACCCACCAAGACTCCCTCGTCCTTCATGCCTTTCTCAGCAGAGCTGCTGTCCAGCAGATCAGCCCAAGCTGTGCTGTTACCTGGGGTTATTTCTCCCCAGGTGCAGGATCCCTACACAATCCCTACTTCTTTGAGGCATTAAGGCATTTCAAACTTAGTCATAACACATTTATGTAGGGGGAAGAACATCCCTGCTGCTTGTTTCAATGTTTCCCATGTCTGACTAGAACAGTGGTGTCTAAGTTCACAGCTCCAGCATTTTAAAAAATTTCTTTTCATGGGAACAAGAAATAGAGAAATCTGAGAGACTAGCGGGGAATGCATTATCTCCAGGCTTCCTGAGCTTGCTCCTTGTCAGGGCCAGAAAGCTGCCCCTGACAAGTCTACTGGGTAAAGCCAAAAAACCTGGCAGTTGCCTGGTAACTGCAGATGTGGCATCCCGCTGCCTTTAGGTATCAGCAGCAGAAAGGTCTTTTATTAAAAAGTGAAGTTATTTTCTCACGTTCTTTTTTGCAAAGCTGCCTTTGTCCTTTTGATTACAAATCCTATTAGAACATGGGGGTTCTAACTGGAATTTGAATGGCACAGTATCCCAAAGATCATGTAAAAAAGGCAACCTCACATTCAAAGGCCCTATAGTGTCAGAAGGCACTTGTTCGTAGGGAGAGAGTAACAACACATACAAACACAGGTGTGAAATCAGAAGTGACAGTGGTAGCTGGTCACCTCACACAGGTAGGTCACCATGAGTGGTACAAAGGAAAAACAAGGTCTCTCCTGTCATATCTTTAGTGGCTACTTGGAGACAGATTTATTAATCTCTGCTCTAAACTGTAACACCACAAAGGCTATCTGCAACAGCTGTGTTCAGGAAAAGGTTATCAGTGCTTATTGAGGTCACATTATTTATTATTGGAGAAGATCTGCTTTTGGACCAGAGTTTCCTTCAGCTACATGCCATTAAAGTATATTTAAAAAAAGCTACTTTCAAAGAGTTTTCAGTTGACATGGTCTGCAGCCAGGTTGGAGAAATATAATTGTATAAGTGTATAAATGTCGGGTGGTGATGATAAGGTGATGCTACCTTTCTGAAAGCAACTCCAGGGAGGGAGGTGTCTGGAAAGGCTGAAATCACACTCACACACACACTCAGAAGCACGCCACAAATAGATAAGCAACGGCAGAGAGTCAGGAAGGGTCCTTGTATGGAGTTCCTGTGGGGTTTATTACAGACACACACTGAAGGGGTCCAGGAACACAGACAGGGAACAAGGGAGGATCCAGGGTTATATATGGGTTTGAGGGGGTGGATCCAAGGGTCAGGGTCCAATAGGAACAGGGTAAAGTGGTGCATAGGTGGGGTCAAGGAGAGGGAGAGCCAATGGGATAACAGGGGCAGAGCACTGCAGCAAACTGGGGCCAATGGGGAAACAGGGAAGGGAGAACTTTCTAGGGGAAGAATAGAAGATAAAAATGGAAGAGATGACCTACAGGCCAACTGGGTACATACATCTGGGGTACAGTGAAATGGAGGTGCAAAGAACTATGGGTAAAAATTTCTTCCTTCTATTCTTATATTGGGGGAAAACCTTTTCTTTATGCTTTAACTTCATACATTAGAGGCCTCCTTCCATGCCATTACTGTACTTGACTCTGGAGCCCCCACATATAATCAAAGAGGAGTTATTAAAAAATGTATAGGATTGTGTTAATGAAGCCAGAGTTTGTTCTTGAGTTGTTTAATAGTCTGTGTGGTGGTTTTAGCACTAGCTAAAAATCACCAGAGTACTTACTCTTGCTGTGAGATATGGATTAGGAGAAAGGCAAAACAGGCTTAAAGCTTAAAAGGAATAAAGAAAGTTTATTAACAGAACTACAAGAATAAGAAACAAGAATAAAACCACCAGAAACCTTTCCTCCTCACCCCCACCCAACATTTTTCTTTCTCAACTGACAATACAGAGACAAAACTTGGGATATTAACACAGTACCAACTATACAATAGTCTTTTTATCAGTTTCTACATGAGAGTTCTCTTGTCATTCCATGGAGAATTCTCCACAAGTAAAATAGTTTTCTCATGGCTTTTCATTTTCATGCCTGGCAGCCGCCCAGAAAAAACTGTGCCATCATGCTTTCCTCACATTTTCACTCTGAGGGGTGTTCATGGGCCATGAACTCAAGGGGTGTTATTTTAAGGATGAGTTATTCAAAGGCAAAGGTTCTCTTCATCTGTCTCTGTGATCATCTCTGGGAACAGAGGTTTTCTTCTTTTCTCCCTGGGGGCAAAGGGTCTTCATAACTCTCACTTCTTTCTCTGTTCCAGCATCTCATGGGATCACAGCTACTCCGCTATATGCTTAGCTTCATCAGTTTACCTTTGCTCAGGTCTACAGTTTGAATAGTTCCTTCCCCCCAGTACTCTTTCAGGAATTAAAGAAGTTTTTCAGAACATTATTGTCCATCTCCACGGCTCCACTAAAAGAATATTTCAGCTTATTAAAACATCTTCTCATTCTCCTTCCATCTGAGGCTTGACATTTTTCTCTTACTGACCTGGATGTTTCATGTTGTCTCTTTACATGTTGATCACTCTTGCTTTCCCCTTTCTGTAGAGGGGATTAAGTCTGCAGGTCTCATCTGTGTAGTGAAAGGGTTAAAATCTGGCCCAAACTGAGACCAGGTATTTATGGTGTCAGATTTCAGCTTGGCAGCACTGGAAGGCAGTGGACATTTTTCAGCCACTGTCTCAGTCTGGAGCCATCTGTGCAGGCCATGGGGTGAGATGTCAGCTGTTGTGGCTCGCCCCAGCCCAGGGCCAGGGGCCACAGCAGAATCCAAGCTCCTCATTTTCCATCCCCACCTGGATTTGGAGCTGCTGGAGTCCAGCCTGGCCTCCTCCCCATTCCCCCAGGCCACACAGGCCAGGCAGGGGAGCGAGTCAGCCACACCGGAGCTCCAACCCCGGCATTCACAAAGGTGATCTTACTTTTCAGTGGTCCAAAATGCTGTCAGTTCTTAAAACTGGCTAGCTATTGGCCTGATCTCAGGCAGAGAAGAAACTCCCAGCAGCCCCTCTCAGAGCCATCACTTCTGTGGGTGTTTTCTATTGTTTTTCCTAAATGCCAAACCGCCACAGTCTGCTATCATAGTCAGCTCTTTGTGATCCAGGACCAGTCCAGCTGGCGATAATAATGGGACAGGTTTGATAGAATTGCCCAAGATAGAGTCAATGTTCATAGAGACACCACATGGTCTGAGGGGCAGCTTCCAAAGACCCAGGGGTGTTGTGAGCTTCACAATACCTAGGGTTACCTGGGGAGAAATAGCCAATCACCGCCACAGGACAAGGTTTTGACCTTATCAGTATAAGGTAAGATGACCCTATCAGCACCCCCCAGCACCCTGCCTCCCAAGGCTTCAGGTTTATTCCCTCTGTGCTAGGAACTCTCTCCATGGTATAACCTTTCCGATCTAATTAGGTTGCAACACTGTAAAACTGAAGGAAACATTCATTATACCTCAGCAATATGTTGAAGACTTTATTGTGTACATTACAAAATAGTCTAGTCAAACCATATGGAGCCATTTAAAATGCCATTTGGCTAACACTGACTTACACTGTGCATATATTTAGTGCTTATTATCATTTTAGAGTGAGACATCTTTGTTTTTAATGAGGTTGACTGTGAGATATTAGACTGTTTTTATTATGGCCTTTGACTTGCAATGTTTCTTGAGTTGTGTAAATTTGAATTTTGTTAGTTGTTGAATTTGAAAGTTGTTAAATTTGAATTTTAAATATGAAAGCCTAACATAATGGGAATTTTGTGTATTTTATAAAGCTCTGTGGAGCTACAGACCTCAAAGAGCTCCAAATTATTTAAAAATAGAAATAATAGTAACATTTTCCATCTTTCTTCACAAAAAGCAAGAGAAATTGTTTGATTAGGTATTAGCTGTTTGTGTTTTTACATACTGTAGGGCTAAGAAAGGGAAATTACTGGGGAAAAAGAAGATATCTATGATGCTTTCTGAGTCTAAAACCTGCCTCCTGTTGTCTTACCTGCACACAGGCACTGAATTTTGAACAAATACGTATTTTAGGTGTGCTAACTTGGTAAGATTTCTGACACAGAAACAAGTGTGTTATGCAAGTGCCACAGGATTTTTAAGGAGAAATTTTATTATCAGAAAAGTCCAATATAATGTTTTGCTCTTTTGTGTCAGCCACAGCAGCATTAGGGATTTAATTTGTGCTGCTGATAGATGGGACTAATCTGACCAGTGTCTGCCCAACCACAGAATCACAAGCAGGCTGTGTCTATGTGACTGAAGCTGAGCACTTGAAAGTGAGATGTGAGTGGACCTTCAAGGTCTTGAAATAGAGGCAGATAAGAATGCATAATGTATTAAAGTCTCAGGATCTTGCATTGCTCAAGCATGTTTTGAATGCATAGGAGTGTGAAAGCTGCAGAATGCCCCTTCTTTAAACTAAACATGTTACAGCTCTCACACACAGCTATCAAAGCCATGTGCTAGGGCCCACAGTTTTAGGTAGATCAATGGAATACTGATGTACATAAAAGCTGTGGGTTGTTTTGTTTTGGTTTTTTTAATGTGTTTGGTTCCCAAGCTTCAGATGAGGTCTTACAGTCAGGATAATGATTGGAAAGTCCTTTAGAGAAATCCAGTAAGAAAAACAGAGAATATGAGTGTTTATGTCATATCCTCAGGGCTTCAGAGCTCTGTCTCTGCTTCCTCAAAGTAGGGCAATGAATCCTTTCCAGAAAGTAGGTTTGTATGTCTCCTCCTTCCAAAAATTGTGCGAAGTCTACTCTTCTGCTCATAAAATAAAATTAAGGTTTTTGCTCACTGTTTATGACTACCTTACAGGAACCTTCTTAGTCTCCTTTTTAACTCCCAGGCTCAGTTAGCTTGCAGCCATGAGATGGCACAAGCTGAGCAGAAGGCCCTCCTTACCTGTGCTGAAGAGTCATCTCACTGTGTAGCCAGCTGCTGTGCTGCAGAAAGTGGGACAAGCAGGTTTGTGACCTCTTGAAGGCCTGAGCCATCTTCTGCTGCATATGCTGAGGAAGGTCCCTGTCACTGGGCTTGCCACTAGAAAATAGAAACTGTGATGAGATTAACTTATTCTTCATACCCTGAAGTCACAAAGAGCTGAATCTCTTCATTATGGTACAGTGAATGGACCCAACTTGGTAGGTGGGCATGGGACTGAACCCACACTTCAGGAGAGACAGGCAAGCAAACTGGCTTCCTAAAGTGTGGTGGGAAGGGTGGACACTGCCTGTGTTCATAGGCTCTGTATATTTCTTCGGTCCCAGGGGCAGCTGTGAAATCACAGACATCTTCACAGAATGGGTTTCATGTGGTTTTGCTGCAAAGGCAGAAGTGATCTACAGATTTTAGCTTGGGGTAGCAAGAGGGGAGAGTGGGGCATGAGAGCTCACTGAGCTACAGCCCATTCCCTCCACCAGGATCTGAGGCTAGGTGTGCACAGGCTGGTCTTCTGTAGCTGTGACAATCTGTAGCAATGCATCTGAACAGCTTGGGCCATAGTGTGCACCAGCCAAACTATCTATAGAGTTTCTTATCAGACCCTCTGGAATTTATCAAGGTTGCTGAGATATAACCTGTTCTAAAAATAAGGATAACAGAGGGCAGTTGAACACCTGGGCTGTAACCAGTCCTGTGCCCTGAGGGGTGCATGCAGAGCGCGTGGACAGGACAGGGGCACCAATGAAAAGATGTGTTTTCATGTGAAGAGTAGTTACAGAATCTATAAATAAGTGTATAAGGTAAGCAATAAATGGCTTCTGCACAATCATATTGGTTTGTTGGCCAGAGGTCCTGAACTGACTTTCCTGATGGCAACAATCAGCCATTCCATAAATGTGGTTCTACAGGGAGAAGTCCAAAATGCCATTTACTGCCACAGATTACTTTTCTGTCTGGAGTTCAGATTTGAAAGCTGAAGCCACCTTCAATCTGCATTTACATTGTTTAGCTTAATCATGAGACCAGCAGCAATTTATCTATAAATGTACAGAATCCTGATACTTTAATATGGCCAGAAGACTAGAGGATGTGGGAGTTTTGGGGAATCCACAAAATAACCATTATGATTTGCAAAATGTTTCTTAATCACTATGTTTAAACATTGTATTATTTTATCAAAGTCATGCTCAAAATGAATGACTCAGCCCTTTGGCAGGACTGGTGTTGGGATTGATCAGATCATAAATATTAACCTAGAACTATAGGAGTCTGGTCTTTAGGCCAGTGTTACCATAGGTCCAGCAGTACCCTGCCAGCATTGCCCCCTGGGAAAGAGGCATGTAAATAGTTCTATCTTTATGAGGTTGTGGTTCTAGAAAGTCCCCCAGTTCTCCCCTCTGATTGGCTGTTGTGCGTCACATTGTTTTGCATATTCCTAGTCGTTGTTTCTTATTGGACCCTCACCCTCAGATTCTGCCCCTAATTTACCTCTCATATACTTTGTGCCTACCTTGGCCCTGGCTTTGGAGTTCACCCTATACTTGCTGTTCGGATTATCTCGTTTGTTGTTTTGCCCTTAAAGTATTTCTGCTTTGGATTATTGCATTGCATCAGTCCTTTTATTTTATTGTCACCATTACTCTTGACTGATGTGGTCCCAAGGTCCAACTTGGGAGCCAACTGGACCTTGGCCAGGTTTCTACAGACTGGTCTAAAATTTTAAAGTTTACTGGTTAAAGAGTTTACTATTAGACATATCACTCTCCTAAAAGCAGTGGGTTTCACTCTAATGATTCTGTGCCACAGAAGTGATTCTGTATTAAAATGTCAGTAAAGGCCAGTAGCAGTTGTCTTGGCTAGACACATTCTACTTTGTAATTTCTATTATATGGAGTGTGTACATTTCTGAATCCCATCAAAGCCCCACCTTGCACTGCCATGTTCTAGATGGGCCCATCCTGAACCAGGCACTGTGGATGTTAAAACTTCTTCAAGGTTAGTACCAGCTGACATACACTCAGTCACAGAAACACAGAATTGTTGAGGTTGGAAAACATTTCTGAGACCACTGGCACCAACTGTGCCCCCCCAGCACTACCAAGCCCACTACTAACCCATGTCCCCAGCTGCCACATCTACTTCTCTGTTAAATCCCTCCATATTGAGTGGTGGGGACTCCACCACTGCCCTGGGCAGACTGAGACAGGGCTTGGCAACCCTCCAGTGAAGAAATTTTTTCTAAATTCCGTCTAAATGTCCCATGGTACAACCTGAAGCAATTTCCTCTTATTGCCTGGGAAGAGAGGCTAACTCCTCACAACACTCTCAAGCAGTTGTAGAGAGCAATATGGTACCCCAAGCTTCCTTTTTCTCCAGGCTGAACATCTCCTGCTCCCTCAGCTGATCTTCACAAGACTTGTACTCTTCTCCAATTATGTTGCCCTTCTCTGGACATGCTCCAACATCTCAGTGTCCTTCTTTAAGTGAGACATCAGGAGTGGAACATAGTAGATATCTAGCAACCCCTTATACCCTTCCCTGGCTTTCATTTTTGGTTGCCATGGGAAGCAGGATGGTGGGCTTTGGTGGACTTTGTCTCTGACACTCTATATCCATCTGCTGTTTCATGTTTCTTTATGTTGATATGCCAGTACTATGCAGTGCCAATCAGAATTTTCTCCCTCCACTTTGTGGCTCCGTTGGTGTGTCCTACACCCTTTGGAAGGTGTTCTCTGCTTGGGGAACTGAATATGCATTGGAAAGGGTCAGAGTAGGGGTGTGGTTGTTTCTGGATAAACTGTGGATTGTAAATAGAATTTGCATCATGGATGAAATCTTTTTGTGGCTCCAGGTGCTTCCTCCTCTCAGAAGAGGCTGTGAGTTGCTCCACTCTATGTGAGCACATGAAAATTTAGTGTACCCCAGTGTCAACATACCTTTGATAGAGGATCTCCTGACACCTTCTCAGAACCAGGTCAGAACTGCAGCATTAGGGATGTTCTGGGCAAGCAGCAGAGAGAGGCTTGGAAAACCCTCCTTGGGGAAGACAAGCTCTTCTTTGGGGCCTGTCATCAGCTTGCTCCTCCTGACTTTCCCTTCATTTATGGGATTTTTTAAAGATAACACTTATCCTGGGGAAATGAATGGAGAATTTCATTATCTATATCTAGTTTTATACACCTTTTCTTATATCAATCATGTAAAATTTAAGCTTTGCAAAATGCAGGCTGTTGACTGCAATACTCTTTTGGCTACTGAATTTTGGCAGCCCACAGACTCTCACAGCAGATTTTCTAGCAACTCTATTGTCAGAAACAGTCAAGTGTCTTTTTTTTTTTGGTGGTTTTTTTTTTTTTTTTTATTTTGCCAGGGAAACAAAAGAAAACTGTACTACAACACTTTGTATAGATAATAGGGTATAAATTATATTTTAAAAAAAGACTTGGCTAGTTACAGCTCAGTCTTTTATTGCTCATTTTTTATGTCACTTCTGGGGAGACTTTATGCTGTTGCAAACAAGGGAGGCGAAGATCATCTTTTGTAGTGCTGTGTCATGACTGCCCTGGCAACAGACCAGGGAGTTCATCCTGACTCCCCAGGTGCTAAACCCACATGCTAAATCAGCTTCCCAGATCCATGCCTTACAGATCTAATAATCACATTTTCCCCAGTAGGTCAGTGGGCAGGCCAGACACAGGGTTTGGAGTTCTCCCTCCAGGCAGCCCTAAATGAGTGCCCTGGGCCTGCAGCTTCATCCCAGGTAGGTATGGGAGCACAGCATCCAGCCCTTCCCCAGGAAGCAGTCAGTTCACATACACACACTAAAAAAAAAAAAAAGTAAAAAATCCCCCACCCAAACAAAAACCAACATCAACAACAAAAAACAACAACAAAACAACAAAAACAAAAAAAACCTGCTCTTTTTCATAAAGCAGGTTGAGGGACAAGGCTGTTGAAAGGAAAATAAACCCCACTTCCCCAGTATTTATTTGGTTTAGGTTTGTTAGAAATGAAGCCCACTACTCTGTTAAAATTTAAAGAAAATTTAATAAGGGACAACAGGGGACAAAGTCAATAATGCAAAAGGAACAGCCCTCAGTCCTTATCTGGAGCCAGAGGCACACCAGTGAACCCAGCAACACCCCTTATATACCCTGGGTATTGCATCAGCCAACTACATATTCATAAATGTCATACATACTCAAATATTTTAATATAGTTCCCCCTCTGTCCCACCTTTTTGGAGCGTGTGCAGTGGTCTTAGCTGTGGTCATTTGTTACTTTTTGATACATTCAACAGGTTTTGATTCCTTCACTGGTTAAATGCTCACATTACAACAACTGGTCAATAACATTGGTATTACAACATTCACATGAAAAGAACTCTGAACTGTAGCAGACATTATAGGACACATAGTATTCACTCTTAACAATTTCAAAAGCCAGCACTGTAATAGATTTATCACAGGTTTGGTTTTGTTTTGTTCTCAAGGGACTCTAAAAGTCAAGTTAAGACTCCAGAGTTCAGTTGCCTCCCAGGCAGGGAGCACTGCTGGCCATAGCTCGAGTTTGCTTTCATCTCTATGCAGTATCATCTCTGCTTTCATCTCTGCAGCTGCAGGGATGCAGACCTTTCTTCATAAACCTTCCTAGAGGAGCAACATACGGGGTAAATAGGATTTTGCCTGTTTCTTCTGTTATAAATACATATTGTGATATTGGCTTTTCGCAAGTATTAAGATGAGTGCTATATGTATAATGTTAGATAGCTTTTGCTCTGTCTTTTTCTTTTTCTCCTGCTAAAATTTAGGCGTAGGTGAAGAAGAATTTCAGACGTTAGGGTTATGTCCTTCCTGAGCAAAGCAAGATAACATCCAGTGAACAGATGATGGGGTTGATGATGATCATAGTTGATGATGCTATCAACGCTGACCCCCTGTAGAAGAAAGAAACCCAGCCCAAATAAAAAGATAAGAGACATTAAAACCAAATGCATGTGCTGCTCTAAAAAGGCGGACCCGAGGAGTGGCCACGCAGAACAGTTCCTGGAAAAATTTGAATATGCATAAATCCATGTGGCAGGAATGCTATATAAAGGGTGTTTCCAAAGCACCAGGTGTGCTCTTGGCACTTTTAACCCTTTCCTTTAGTATATTTTTTTATCTTTGTCTCCTATTGTCTTTTTGTTTATAACAAACCTTTTAAAATTTATTAGGCGAGTGAACCTCGTTTTTCACACTTCCAAGCCCTCTCATCCTAATTAAATGGAAGAAAGATCCAGTGCATGCAACACACCCTAGACCTATAGCCTGAAGTAGTGCTTAAGGCACAGTTAGATGGACTTGGTGTGGGACTCAAAATAACCATAATAACCAATAACCAAAACCACAGCCTGATTGGACCAGCAGCAGTGTCACAGATATTTCAAGTATCTGCTTCCAGCAGGTGCTGGTCAACTCCTGCTGAGGTGTGTCTGCCTTGTGCCAGCTAGTTTCTTCCTCTGTTTCTCTCTCTTTATTTATTAATTAGCATCATTTAAAAAGACCAGTTGTCTCAGTTTTGGAGACAAATTCCAGGGAAAAAA